GAAACATGCAGGGGTCTCAGCCCCCTCACTGTGAGTGACCATAAACCTTCTTCTTCTGCAGGTCTGAAACATGCAGGGGTCTCAGCCCCCTCACTCACCAGCATCCTCTGCAGCTGCTCCACTGTCTGGTTGGCCACACTGATGCTGTTGATCTCCCTGATCTCATCTCCAACGTGCAACGTTCCTGAAAACACCTGACCAGTTAGACGAAGGAGCCAAACGTTGCAGAGATGAACGTCTCCTCAGAGCTGTTTAATGTTTCATCAGGCCCTGATGCTCGTCCTGACTCTACATCAGCAGCACAAACCTTTCCCACTTTGTCTCGAAGAAAGACTTTTCCTGTCGGGTCAACAGGTCATGTTAGAACCAGAGCTCGTTGGCTCTTTGTCCTCATTGTTTCTTTAAAAAGACAGGAAGGATTTTGATTCCTCATCATTTAAATACATAATATATTCATGAGAGTTGTGTTTTGGTCAAACCTTGTAAATGATAAAAAGATTTATGTGATGTTGTGAGTCTTTGTTAAGAATTACTGTAGCTCAGTATATCTGAATCTGACTCAATTACAGCCATTTTTGTCTTTTGTAAGGTCAACTACTTTAGCTGTGGTGGCTATTTTGACTTTATGTGAMTACATGTGTACTGTACATATTCAATTATTACTTTTTTAGAGTTTAATTCAATTTCATCCAGTGGTAATTTAGATATTTTGCTGACAGGGAAACAGTGTGTGATGACTGTATATAATGCTGAGGTTTGAAGCTGTGAATCGCTCTCAGCTACGAMCAGAACTGAGCTAAAATATCTGTAAAACTCACTGAATCCTGGATTTGGTTTAGTGTTTCAGTTATCTGTGGCAGGAACCTGAACTAGACCGACTCTAAAAGTCCAGACTGCCTTCAGGTCCAGGCCTSTCTTAATAAAACATCTGTCATCTCAGCTGGATSTGTCTGCTTAAACAACAGCTGATTAAATACATTAAACATATTCATTTGTAGAAGAACATCCAATGTTTTTGAGTTAGAATTTAACTGAGATATAAATACAGACTCAAACATAGATCTCACACAAACGTAGACTTTAAGTTTCCTATGAGTGTAAAAACTAACAGGAAGTGTTTGGAAACTTGTTTCTACAAACGTTATGAGGAAACAAAGTGATAAAAATATCTAAAATAAGTTACTTCACCAAAACTAAAGTTGAAACTGATGATCTTCAAAAAGTCTTCAGTGTGAGAAAATATTAGATGTTTATCTCACAGATCACAGTAAGTTRTGTTAAAGGAAATGAAAGTGTGAAGAAAAACAACACAACACCTAAAACTTCACTTTATAACCACTGAATAGATGTGTAAGATGACAACTAACAGTCTCTGCAACACATTTAAAAAGTTCATTTGGTTATTAGAATATTTAGTGAGATTATGTTTCAAACTAATGAACTGTAGTTAAATTACAGAAATTTAAGTGAGATCCTCTTTTATGTTTAAATTAGACAAAAACCAACAAACATTCCCTCCACAGATTAATAACTACATTTATTTTATCAACACACAAAGAAGAAGAAGAGAAATCTTCAAGTTAGAAAAACTTAAAAATTCTGCAGAAAAAAAAGATTTGTCAAATATGTGATCCGTCACATTGAAACAAGGATTAAGTCCTAAAGTTGTATCAGGAGAAACAGGCAAATATAGTGTTTTGACTAAAATGTTAACCAAAATTACATTTTGTCAAAATGAATAAAAGTCTTATTAATGTATCATTTGAATGAACTGTCTGAAATATAATCATAAAACTAAATTTTGAAGCATTTCTT